CCCCAAAACCCCAAAACCCCAAAACCCCAAAACCCCAAAACCCCAATTTTATGTCGATAATTAGAAATTTAAATTTTATAAGAATTTATGAGCGATACTGAATCTGAAGGCAACAAGATGCATGAAAAGGGCTTAGCTAGCAAGATTATTAAGGCCAAGAAGAAAAAGAAGCAGGTCTTTATGGAGAACTCTGTCCCAACTCTTGTTGAGCTTGCTATAGATGTCGTTGCAGACAATATCACCTTGTATCCTGACCTAAACGGTGTCTATGTAGAACATATCAAGGAAAATATCATTCAGCAATGTTCTAGAGATATTCCAGTCAAAGTTGCTGCTAGAAATATTGACTATGAGTTTTATTGGGAAGACTGCTGCGATGCTAAGATCCCTAACTGCAAAAGAGAGAATCATGGCAATTCTTATAAGCAAATGTTTATTGAAAAGTATTTGGAAGATCTGTTAGAGAATTATAAGCAAGATCCTAATGCAAAGGAAACAAGTGATATGGAGAAAGATGAGAACCTAAAGAACCTTATTCAGGAGATCTCTGCCTGTAGATATGATTGCTTTAGTCTTAACATCACGCAATTATTGTCACATTTGGATATGAGTATCGTATTTGACAACCTCCCTAATTTATCTTACCTCAGTTTAACTTATGGAGCTAAACATGTTGGAATGGAGTATGACAGACAAAGATTTGGAATGAAAATGCAAGATGCCAGGATTTTCTCTGAGTGTCTTAGAAAGAGCCATTCACTAGTGAAGCTAGCGCTCCCATGCAATCTAATTGATGATGAATTGATTAACATTTTGTTCAAGTACTTATGTTTTCTTATCTTATAGAGGACTGATGATTAACAAGACCATTTCCCAGTTGGACCTATCTCATAATAGAATAGGAAATACTGGAGCAATGAAGATAGCAAAGTTCTTGGCTCATACTCAGATCTTGACACACCTAGATTTAGGAGACAACAGCATCAGTTATCAGGGGTCTAGGTTCCTTTCCCAAGGTATTGCTAATAACAACTCCTTAAGAGTTTTGTCTCTTTATTTAAATGAGATCGACGACAAGGGAGGAATGAAATTTTGTCAGGAGCTAAAGGGAAACAACAAAACTCTCCTAGAGCTAAACCTTAGAGGAAACTCTCTCCAAGGAGAGTTCGCCAGGGCTTTAGCAGAGTTGATCCTTGATACTAACCTGACTAAGATAGATATCTCCTGTAACTTGATCAAGAACAGTAAGGCTTTTTCCCTAATCCTTATAGAAAAAGATGCAATTGCAATTTTAGATTCTCTGAAGGACAATCCTAATATTATCGAATTTGATATCAGAAACAACAAAATCAAAGATGTTGATGTTGAAGAAGAGATCAGTGATGTTGTATTCCAGAACTTTATCAACCTGGATAAATCAGTTAAGATCAATATTCACAGCAAAGAGGATGGCAAAGCTTAATGTGAAGTACAATTATTGGATTCTAAATTCATTCAATACCCTTTATAGAGTTAGGGGTTTTGGGGTTTTGGGGTTTTGGGGTTTTGGGGTTTTGGGGTTTTGGGG